AGGTCATGGCTTGCAGTGTAGACAATAAAATTGCTGCTTTTGTCTCAAATACATATATTCCAGTTCTAGATTGCAGATGATATAAAATGGTTAAGATGAACAGTTCCTTGTCACCTATTTTTCTTTTAAATCTAATGTTCTCATTTATGTTCTTTTCATACAGGAAACTGATAAAACACCTTTTCTGTGACTGACATTTTCTAAATTTAATAAAAAGCCGTAGCCGACCTTAGTAGTCTAATCAACATGAAGCAAAAGGACAGAAATCAAAGCGTTTGTGATATATTTGATGCACAATTCCCTTACTTTGCCCTCAATCAATGCACTGATAATTTCAATACATGTGGAAAATTATTTGTCTAGGGAGATGTGTAATTTCAGATGTTGTATACCCAAAACACTAATGGAATATACTTGTTAAATACATATTTATTAGTCAGTAGTGTGAGTGTTGCTTGGATTTTATCTGACCATTTGAGTACCTCTACTCAGACACCTCTTAATCTTCTCTTCTGGGAAGGAATTTTGCAATTCCTCCAGGCCCAACCAGCTTTTAACATTTTCTTTTTTCTTTTCTTTACGCTTGTGATCATTGGTTCAAACCAACTGCTTACCAAAAACAGTCTTCTTAATTAGCAGCTGGATCAAAGCATGCCAAAAATCTTAAAATCTCAACCAGCTAACAAGCTCCTCAAATAATGGGGTGGGATACTCATATTTGTATATATTCTTCCTTCTTCCTTTTAAGAGTTTATAGTAAAACATAGCTTTACTGTTATAAAAATTCACCTTTTTAAAAGGTGAAAAAATCCTCACCTCTCATGGATTATGTAACCTCACTCAGACTCCTCAAAATAGGAACTAACATAGAGCTTGGGTGATGTTAGAATAAAGTTGTTTCTAGCAGACCCGACAGAGGACTTGAACAAGTTGAACAAGTTTTTGATCAGCCTAGGCGCAGTGGATGCAAAAAGAAGAAAAATAATCTCTCCTTCCCCCACAGCCTGATTTACTGAACACATCTGACTGAAATCTGTATACTTTAATGATCCAGAATGCATTGCAGTGGAACTGATTTAATACAAATGAATAATAAGCAGCAGTTTGACTCCTCAGCAGTTAATCAATGTGTTTGCTAAATAGTCATTTTTCTGAAAAGAACAAACTGACGTGTAGTATCAGAAATGGCCCCAGGCTCGAAAAAAAAAAAAAAAAAAAAAAAAAATTGCTGCACTGCCCCCCCCAAACCCAAGAAAAAAAAAAAAAAAAAAAAAAAGATTGCTGCACTGCCTGCCCTTACTCTTGTTTTCTGTTCTCCAGAAATGTGCACCTGTAGGTGGTAAGACACTGCAGCAGAAACGAGAGATGAAAAGCAGTCCCACAAATAACCAGCAGAGTTATTAACCATTTTGTGTCAGGCTGCTCTATATGCTGAGATTAGCTCAAGGGCTATTTGCAAACCTAGATTTGCAGCCTGGACTGCATGGTGTTTAGAAGAACGGTTCAAGTGGTTTCCACATTTGAGCCTCCATGACACTACAGAGCCTTTGAGCAAAAGCCAAGTGTATTCTCAGTCATAAGAGGTATGAGGGGAACTTGAACAAATGTGGCCATGTAAGCCAAGGAAAACACTCCCAGAAGAGCTAGGAGAAACTATCTAAGGACAACTCAGAAATGAATCTAAAAGTGTATCCTCTTTCTACCTTTATTATGAGAATACCTCAGAGAAGTTGAGAGGTTGCTTATGATACTACTCAAAGAAATTCTTTGTCAAAAAATATTGTCCTAGTATGTTTGGTAGACTCAAATTTTGGGTCATAAAATCATGCTGAATGGAGTCTCAACATTATATATTGAACATGTCTCAAGTATATCATCAAAAGCAACAGTATTTTGGTCTGTTTGATATAGAAGTGTTCATGGTAGACATAATCCCTATAGGAGAAGAATCACGTTATGAATTTAGTAGGCCATGCTTCATATTTTTGACAAAGGTTCTGCATGTGGGAAAGGGCACCCAAATGGCGATTTTTGTTCCAGCTATACTATTGCTAACCTATAAAAAAGAACTGTTTTGTTCCCCAAATATTTACAAATCATTATTATTTTACCCATGACATCAGCCTTCACAAAATTTGATTCTAATAGCTCAGCAGCAATAAGGACTASGGATTGGTATTCCAGTATTTGTTTCTATGTTGCATTGTTATTCAGTTCATTTATTAAGGGTAAAATGTGCTGCCAGCTAAACTAATCTACGAACAACTGCAGAGCTCCTTTACAATATAAATGCATCCCCATGCAGAGTAACTAACACAGCTAATACACCTTTATCCAAAAAGCAGTCTATTTTTAAGGCTACATAGTCCAAACACTTACCAGTTAGAAGTATTTAATCAGGATATAATCAGTTTGAGTTTGTCAAGAACCAACACAGATGCATATTAAAACAGTATAACCAGCAGTAGTATGGGAGTATTTTGTAATAACGTGATTTTATAGCCAGGCACAATGTATAAGCATTTTACAAACCATTGGCATGTGCAGATTTCTATTAAGTATCACTGGAAGCATCAGCTTAGTTTGCAGAAATCCACTGCTTGTTTGGGCCGGAAGRGCTACTGCAGGTTTCTCAGGTTATGGAGGCATTAGGTCAGAGATGCTGATCACTTGCAGCTATCTAAGCACCAACATTTACCTCTGTCACCCACAAGCATATATTGTGAGGCTTCGAGAGAGTATACGAATTTCTGGCAGAGCCATTCCTGTCAAGAGTTAGCCCTGGACATTCTTTGGGAAATATGAACTTAAACTACCACTGCAGCCATATAAGCTTCTTGTTTCAATACCATAATAGTTTATGCTTAATATCACATTCAGCATAACTTCTACAGATCCTATTAGCATTTTTTTTAATGCAACCATCCCATTTGAAGAGTTTTTTTTCTTGAAAAAGCAGTTTATGGGTTTGTTTCTGGGATTGCTAATGATATGCAATAACGTTGGTTCCTTTTGCTCTCCATTTAGAAGTGAATTACTTTAGCTAATGGGAACACTTTCTGTTTAATCTAAATTATATCATGGTTGCTTGCAATCAAATCTCATACATGATGCACAGACTGTTAGCTACAAAACAGAATTTACTTCCCTAAAGTTGCATATTCTTACTGCTAAGCTAGAATTATGCAGCTGGGATCTCATAAAAGTTCTGCGATGTAATGGAAGACCTTTTATTTTTCCTCTCTGATGCTGATCTACTGTTTTCTAGTCTAAATATGATTTTTTAGTCTGTAATGTTGGGATAACGTGTGCCTTTTACAATTCAACTGAGACTTATGCTGAGGAGTGCTTGAAGGAAAACAAAAAAACAAACCAACAGACTCCTGTTTGGAGGAAGCAGTACATCTTGAAGGATGGAAAGGAAAAATGGGACCCTTCTATTTGGGATGATGTAATTTGACCATCAATTGTCAGAATTATGTAAGAGTTTATGATTGGCAAGAACATAAATTCTGAGGACAGATAGAGATCACTTCTAAGAACCTTGAGAATGTATTACATTATTACATCCCACTCTAGTCTGTCTGCCTGTCTTTTTCTTCCTCTCTTTCTTTCTCTCTTTCTCTCTCTCTCTCTCTTTCTCTCTCTCTTAATATCGCCATCATCTAAAGATCAAGATCACTAGCAAAAAGAAAGTCTATTCCAAGTACTCGTGAAGAATCATTTCAGCATTAATATAATGAAACCCAGCATGTAACTAATAAATTCAATACAGCTGATAGAAAATAAGGCAATCCACTGCCGAAGCTCTTTCTCTGTAGCTTATTCAACTTCTCAGCTTCTCCTTGAGAGAATTTTATTGCGATCTAATTAGACCAAGTTTGTAAAAGCTAATTTTAAGATGCAGTCTCTATTGACCAAACAAATGCTTGTGAAGGAAGATTAGTAATGTGGCATAGAGTACTCTGAAAAATGAAGCTAATACAAACAGAATCCTCAGAACAAAATGTCCAAGGGCTTTGCTGTCTAAGCCAGCCATTAAAAAAAGTGTAAAAACAAGTGTCTTTCTGAGGAAGTACTTCTTTAAGGTGTTCCCTTTGTGAGTTTCTTTTAGATGTATCGCTAGGAAATCAGAGGCTGTAGGGCTGAAAGGGATGTTTATAGGTCATTAGTCACCTCATGGTACAAGGCAAAATTCTGAAGGAGATAACAAATGAATTCCTTGAAGTGCCAGCCTAATCTATAGTTAAAAATCTCGAAATATGAGAGATTCCTAACAATTCTAGGCGATCAGCTCCTGTGCTCATTTGCTTTTACAATTAAAAAGATTTTGATCATGCTTAACTCAGCCTTACTGTGTTTCATATTAAATACCTCTCTCTTTTTTTTTTTTTTCCTATCCTCAGTTAGCTCAGAACAATTTTATTTTCTTCTCTTTTAAAGCAATATTTCTGCACCTGAAGACCATTTTGTCTTCTTGTAATCTTCTCTTTTCCTAAGTTAACTAAATTCAGAATTCTGATAGGTCAGAAATGGAATCTGGCCAAAACTGCCTTATTCTTCCTGTGGACTTCTTTGAAAATAAGCAAGAATCCTGCCTCTTTGCTGCTGATGCTGTGTGGTAGTTCATTCCCCTGCCACGTCCCAGGGAAAGGGGCAAGGCTGAGGCCATGCAGACAACAGTATTATGTGATGTACATATGATGTATTATACATATTCTATCATAATTAGGAGCTTCATATATATAACATACGTGTTGCATATATAACTGGGGAGAATATATCGTTTTAGAACCTCTCATCTATTTGTCCAGAATTGTGTTATTTGTACTAGTGATTTCTATTAATAGCAAGGTAGCAGAAGCTGAAGGAGGCTGGTATGAAGGATGTGGCGTATGCATAACAAATTATTTATTACGAATTAATATTTAGGGCAAAAATGCTCAGAAAAATCTGTTTACTTGTAGTCAGAAAGAGGATGAAGAATGATAAACTATTACCTTGAAATTTTCTCTTCAGAAGCTGTTCTGCCACTGAAGTGTGTTTTAGCGGATCAACCATCTAGTCTTAATTATGTTCATTGACTCCAATACGTATTTGTTCTTCTGCCTGCAAAGAAAACATAGTTTTCCTGACCTTTTGTCATAATTGATGTGTAGTATATAAATGACAGAGGACGGTTTAGTGTCAATGTGATCATACCAATACTAATGAATTTAATACATTGTTTGCCGCATGCTGCAATTATTAATGTATTTGAACTTTTGAATTTTACATTCTGCAAATTAACATTAAGTTCTCTTAGCATCAAAGAGAATTAGCCCAAAGCATCTTACACAAATGCATAAGCAAACAGTTTAAAATGGAATTTCTTTTAATGACAATAAGCTCCCCCATGGAAGTGAATGATCACTTCTCCAAGGATGTTTATTAAGGGATAAAATAATTTTGGTGAGAAACAAGTGCTACTGTTATTTCTAGCTGCATTATCCTAACTAATGAGTACTCTTAGTAATTATTGAAAGCAACAAAAAGAGCTGCAGATTTCGCTGTTTTTGCACTCAGACATGCAAATAAGACAAGCTGAAATTACACGTTTATTTAGGGAGTGGTTACAAAAATAAATACTGTTAGCAAATGTATTCCACGTCTTAATTACCTATGAGGAATAGCTTTCACAGGTCCCAAATGTATTCATTGTCTAGAAAGAAATATGTGGCACTTCTTACTAGGCATTAAGGTAAAATATTTTTACTTCTTGAGTTCTGGACAAGAAATTAAGTTGACTTACGATACTCTAAACAGGTGGGGAAAAACACAAACACAACTAGGACAGGAATAACTGTGTTTGCCACCTGGAAGAAGTCAACTTATAGTAATTTTTTATCATTCCATAAAAGAAGCTAGTCTAATAATGAATATTTGTAAGGTGGGGTTTTCTAAACCCTACTTTAGACCAATAACTTCACCTCTGTCTGCAGTGTTCAAAAACTCATGCTTTAGAAGAAGAGACAAATTTTTGATTTGTTTCAGAAACTAGAGAAAAGTAAAAGGTGATGTGATGTTAAGAAACAAATAGCAAATTATTTGTATTTTTGTTGCTCATGCAATGTAACTGAAGAAAAAAAATACTGGTAAGGGAAGGAGTGAATGACAAAATATCAAGTTTTAGGATTCCTTTTCTAACTTCTGGCATTCTTCAGGTTTCAAACAATGATGCAATAATTGGATGAGGATTTTTTTTCCTTCAAAACTGAAATGAGTTACTGAATACAAGACTTTACTTTTGTTTGTTAGAAAGAACCTTTCATAATAGCTTGGAGGATTAATCAAATAGAAGAAAATGAGCAGCTGAAAATCAGTTCTTATAAAGAAATTTAAGAATGAGAGCAAATAAGCTCCTGGATCATACTAAGTCCATAATAAGCTGTTAATTTTTCAGATGTCTTTTATTTATTTATTTCCCCAATCAGAGGAATATAATTCTCCCTGTCATCTTTAGATTAATAAATGGAAAAAAGAACAGAATTATTAGTTAGCATTCCTGCATAGATTTCTTGGTTCCTAGAATCACAGTAGTTTAAAGTCCTTTAGAATATATTGCATTGTCTTGTGATGCATGGAAATGATAGCTTTTTTTTTTTATTATTATTTTCTGTAAGGCTTTCCACATTTTTTTARACAAAAGGTTATAAAGTTGGTGAAAAGGTAGCTAGATGGGAGTCCATGCTTTAATAGACCAGACTGATGAAAGTCAAAATGTATTTTTCCATCTTCACCTCACAGACATGTTTATATTAGCAGATTAAAAGAAAAAAGAAACAAAAAAGCACAAGAAAAAACAATAAATAAAGACTAATCATAGCGAGGAGCATGCAGCAGCCCTGCTGGCCAACATGGAATCAGATACTCTGTAAAGCACACAAGCAATTCAAGTTTTCCAGATTCACTCTTTCAGGGACCCCTTCCATGTTCCTTAGCTCTGTATTTTCTTTTGTGCTATTCCTGTTAGGTTGGTCCCTCAACTTTTAATAAGGGATTTCCTCTTGCTTGACTAATATAACTCTCTGTGAAAGAAATCAAAAGTGGAGTGGCTCAAGGGAAAATTCAAAGGTCAATGCCTCTTATAATATTTGGGAAATTATTTTTATTTTTGTCTTTAAGATGTCCAAAACTTGAAAACTAATTCAAACCGTCTATAATAGTGTAAATATAGAGCAGATGAGCCTGGTAATAGGCAAAGATCCTCATAACTAAGCCAAAAAGGAATTAACTGAGTTTCATTAACTTGTGCTGGTGAACAAAAAATAAATGCAAACCTTTCTTCCACTATTATGCAGAGTATAAATTCATGAGGTTGTTAATTGTGTTAACACAATATGACAGGGAGACATATAAACATGAAGTTTATGGATGTTATTTTCTTTTTCACTGTCTTCAAAACACAATGAAAAGAAAAACAGGAGTTAAAGGAACTAATAACTGAAGCATAAAACCCAAACATTATATATGGTTCCCATTTTCCTCAGAGTTATTTTTCACTTCCAAACAGTCACAGGTAAAATTCTGGAATGGTTTAAATCATTAAATGGTTTAAAGTAGAGAAAAGAATGAATTCAGAAGCACAGGAATGGCTTGCCTGTGGTAGAACAAATTAACATTTACAGTCTTGCATAAAAGCTGTAGAATTGATAGCAAAGTTTCATGGAGGTGATTAAACCTTAAGAATCTCAACTGCTGAGCAGCTACTTTATCAAATAGCAAACAATAACAGAAAGTGGCTAAAGCCTTTTAGATCTTTATAGATTTTTTTTTTTTTTTTTTATGACTAGTGATAGTTCCTCAGTTTGCACGTTGCCAATGAGAAAAACTTTGTGGAGATTCACTAGAGTTGAAAATTCATTTTCATTTGAAGATCACATAGTATGTGCATACTGGCAACCCCAAAACACCAGACAGACTTGTTCTGGTCATTCCTACCAGTCTGGGACAAATTTAACACCAAATTTAACACACAAATTCCACAAATTTAAGCACTCACCACTTATTATATGAACACAGTGTCAATACAATTCAGTGTCTGAAATCAGTTTTTATCCCAGATGCCTTTGAAATTTCATCTTGAGTTTCTGTTCATGATCTTCAGTAGCTGTAAGGCCAAGCAGACTGGATCAGGCCAAAGGCCTRGGAAAGCCCATATACGCTGCAAATCCAGTTAGTTTCCAGTAAAGGCAAGTAGAGAATTATCAGGGCCCTGTGGAGGAGAGAATTTACAAATTGAGAGCACGTTAAAAGTCACCTTTTTCCTTCTAAAGACTTCTAATTTCCAGCAACTAGACTTTTTGTCTCTCTCCCTCAGTGAAATTATGATAAACATTCTGCTATTCAGCTCACTGAAAACGATGACAGAAAAAAAAGAGCAAGAATATAAATGGGAACAATAGTTAACTGACTAATGTAGGGTAGAGGAACTGGATGAGATCTCACATTTTTATAGCACCGATGAACCACTGTTGGGGAAAAAAAGCTTCCTTCCAAGATCTAATCCTGTTTATTTTACCCCTAGGGGACTGCCATCACAAAGAACGGCTTCCTACTCCTTTCTGAGACTTTTTACAGCCATGAATTTGTTATATTCCAGAGTGATTTCTGTCAAGATGCAGTTTTTATGAATTCTGTACCTAAGGGAGATTTCAAGAGCTGGTATATGGTGTAAAGAATTAGATTTTTATGCCACAGTGTTATAATCAAGGCTATTTGGAATTAGGAACCAAGTTGAGCAAATACAGGGTGATTAGAAACTTGTCTTCAAGTAATAACTGTTAGTATTGTGGTTACAGCAAATATCTAAAAGAAAGATGACTAAAAAGGATGGATGGAATTGCAGGTCTGAGCTGTACAATGTTATTTGCCTTTAGTATTTTTTTTTTTTTTTAACAAACATCTTGGGAAAATAAAAGCAATGGGTAAGATTATACTCCTTCCTTTAGCACACAGAAAAAAATGAAGAAAAATAAAAGAAGAGACATGTCCCCAGGCCGGCTTTTTCTCTGTTTAAGAGAGCGAGCAGCCCAGAAGGCTGTTGAAAAAGTGACTTGGTGAAGAAACTAGAGGAATTAATTGTCAACACTATAGGCAGGTAATATGGAAACTGCAAATACTGCAGATATTGCGAATGAAGCGGGTACTGCTCTCACAGGGATAACATGAGGCAAACCATGCAGGTGAGTAGAAGTGGAAGTAAATTCTGAAACAGTGGCAGGAATGCTCACAAAGTACCGGGTCCATTTCAGGAAGCATCACATACCAAACTTGTGGTGTGCCCAGCTTAAGAGCAGCTGTAGACACCAGCATTTCTCCTTCCACTTACAAGAGACAGTAGCGTAACCAAATTGTTACACCAGCTGCAGGAACATGTAATCACAATCAGCTTCTCATTTCAGTCATCTGTGGCCATTAACAGTGTTACTTCTGTCTCCTTACCCATCTGCAGTATCCAATCTTGTTTTACAGAGGATATAGTCACTGGGAGATGCTACATTGAATTTTTTTCCAAATATTCTCTTTTCAAGTTTGAATCTGAAAAGTAGAACTTTCCAGAGCTATTTATCAGGTTAACTTTGAATTTTCAAACCTAAAAATAGCAATCATCTCATTAAAATTGACAAAAATAGATACTGAAGAAAGTATGAGTCAGCCAAACCAATATTAAAATATTTATGGTAGTTTTAAAAATTAATGCAGAAAGGATTAAAGAYTGCCAGTCTGCAGGGAGCCTGTGTTGCTCCTGTGCTTATTCTCCAAAGGTTCCTGGGGTGAAATGACCTGAAGAGGTCACGGACTTGTTCAGCCTGCCCTCTGAAAAGATCAAGCAAATCTAAAGTGATGAAGACTGGGACCGTCATATCACCATAATCAGGAATAACAATGAACGTTTCTATTAGAATGATCAATTCTGTACTGGTCATGTGAGTAGAATAAAAAGATTAGGACTATACARTTTACCATCATGAATTATTATGGCTTTTGGGGAAGCTTTCCACAGTGAACAGGCAGGATAAGAGGAGCAAATAAAATAAACATCCTCGTACTGTTCATGAAGACAATTTCCTTCTGGAGCCCAGAAGCTTGTTCATCAAGCATATCTTCGAGAGGCGGGAGAGAAGAAAATAAAAGTGTGGAGGATGAAAAGCTAGGATTTGACATAGCTTCTTTTTTTTCAGTTCTGTCTGTAAATCACTATGTATTTCTGTAAAATGCTATTTCAAATTAGTAAAGGTTTGATATCTGGCCTGATATGAAATGGGTAAATTSTTCCATCTAAATGATTTTGTGCATTGCCTGGTCGCTGACCACACATTAATATACAGAGTGAAAAGATGCTGCTCTCATCATCCATATTTTGGGCTCGTAAACATTAAAACTGGGACTGAGAAATGATGCTTAGAGAAGTGGTTATATCAATTTTCTTGATTGCCTACAAAAACACAGAGTGATCATCCGTTTGCAAGCAGGRCTGCAGCAGGACCAGTCTGAGGCACTTGTAGGAACTGTGTCAGTTGAGAGCTGGCACTAAGTGTTTACACTGGTCTTTCCCACTTCTGGGAGGCATCTACTTATCTTCTTTTTACTAGCAGTGAATTTTTGCTAATATCCAGCTGAGATTCTGCGCTGTTAGTTCAATCCAGCAGAAATTATGCTTTCAAAAAATGTGGTCCTAAATCCCTATTTCCTGGTGGACTTCTGAGGCAATAAATAGTCGTAGATACCTCTGATTTCTGTCTGATTCCAAGACATGTACATTGGAATTATCTTTCTTTAATGATTCTTGGCATACTGTAGTCTGGTATCATAAAAGCACTCCTTTGTCAGACTGATAATCAAATTAATCTCAATTACAGTTTTCCCACTTCTCTTTTCTCTTCTTCCCACTCTATCATTTCTTCCACTGTCTTCTGGCACAGACAGCTGGTGCAAAGAAGAAGAATTAATTTTCCAAACTTGGCACTGATATGAAGAGGTTGGAAACTCAGGCAGATCATTTTTGAAGTCATTAGTAAAATTCCAGCTCATTGCCAAACCTAATAGATTATTATAATTTACAGACGTGCAGAATGAACTTGAAAAGACATAAAAGACACTCAATACTTTGTAACTGAAAGGACAAATCATGATAACCAAGTGACAATTGAAAACCCTTTTGTGCATTATAAGAAATAAAAACTACATGACAAATGACATATAGCTTCAATTCTACAGCTTCCAAAGGATTCTGGACCCCGATTATTCTAACTCCTTTCTCAAATAATGGACTTGCCTTATGCAGGTTTTTATGTCAGCAGGCAGCAGCAAGGCAGGATGTGCCATTATGCCTCCGTGTTCAGTAGTCTTCTCTTTTACTTTTTATAGCTTTTCTTTTAGATTTTATTGCTCACTGCAGTAGCATCAGGATTTTGCTGGATAGTGTTCACAGTTGGACACTACACTGCGGCAAGCCACAGACTTTGGGACAGGCAACCACCCTAGTGATTTGGGGGTAGGGGGGTGTACATCAAAGATTTCAGCGGCACCATGACTTCCACTGTGCTCTGTGCAAACTCCCCAAGAAGCTAAAAGATGCCATGGGTTAATCATTTGACTGTAGTAAAACTTCAAAGGAATGCTTCTGTACTTTTTCTGACCCTTCACTTTCTGGGAGAAACTCTCTTAAAAGACAGAAAAGAAACCAATAAACCGATAACCACACTATGCTGTGGTTTCATTCTGGTGCTTGATCACATTTGGTGATGATAAAAGCTTATCATGCAAACTAGTATTGCATTCTTCTTACCTTACTCCTACTTTCCCATTTATTTTGCATATTCTCTCCTTTTTTTTTTCCTTTTTTTTTTTTTCTTTTTTTCCTTTTTTCCCCCTCTGTATATTGCTTATTGCTATAAGCCTGGGATGTATACCAGGCTCTGGATCACATGCGAGGCTTGTCCTGTGCTTAAAATGTTTTTAGGCACTTGCTTATAGGCACTGATGGATACGCTAGGAGATAAAACTTTGGTCTGACTCAGTAAGTCTGCTCTAATGTTCATGGATTCTTTGTCCGGATGTCTGGGAGATCTTCCTGAAAAGCAATATATCATGACGTCCGGAGTCCATCCACTGTGTAATGCAAGTCTACTCGATACCTCTGTCTAGGTTAAATATGTTCTGTGGGGATAAACCATCTGGGCAGCCAGACTCTTGAGATCCACAAAGTGCATGGAGAGCATCGTGGTGCCAGGCCTGGAGCACGGTCCTCTCTCGGTGGAGGCAGCTGGTGGTTCCTCCTCCTGCTCCTTCTCCGCACAGAGCTGCCCTGAAGGAGCCTTGACATGAGGGCTGGAGCCTCCTTCCCGTGGGGCTGCCCGTGCCACCCCACCGTCCACTCGGCAGCCCTGGCGGCGCCTCCTCGAGTCCGGCCCTGGTCTGGGCCTGCCGACTTCACCTCTCGCCTGCACCTCCCCRCGACCGACTTCCAGGGCAGCCCTTGGCTGCGGCTGCCCCTGATCGCTGCCTTGGCCAGGATCCTCCCACTGGAATCCCAGGTCAGCCCCTGGGCTCCTTGGCCGGGGAGACGCTGCCCTGGACTTGCCATCACCCTGGTTCCAGCTCACAGCCCCAGTGAACAGGGGAGGAAAAAGGGAACAGGAGGAAATGATTGATTAAGCTCTGCTTCCRAATGTCATTGGTAGCAAGAATAGAGGTAATATGTGGTTGGAATATCTCATCCGAAAAGGATGCAAATCAAAACTCCTTTCTCCTTATTTTTCTTTGTTGACAGCAGATGTTGTGAACATTAAAAGCAGACAGTGATTGTGTGGAGAGACATGTTAAATGCCTGCCTGGGATGACTGACACTCCTGAGTTGCAGGGAATTGGCTGATGAAGAGATGAGCGAGTTTGCTGATGAGGCTCTGAGGCCACGATGGAGCTTCCCGCGCAGCTATGTACAAAACGGAGGGGATGTTGACTCAGTATTCAATTAACACCTTTATCTAGGAACTGAATTATTCAACAATTAAAAATGCACCTTAAAAAGAAAAGATTATTTTATTAAATAATTATTTAAAAAAGCTTAGGATGCTGATTAAAAATCTACTAAAATTCATATTTTAATTAGCATGTGCTTTGTTCCCTTATTTGTTTGGATAAAATAATATTTTTTTCTGAAATTGAACATGCCCTAAGAGAAA